AAAAAGATGTTAAGAAAAAAGAATAGTTCTTACAATCATTGCAGTGCTTTGTGCCGGTCCAGTGATATAGCTATAGGGAATAGTGATTCCGGACTAGCGAAAACAGTACTTCAAAAAGAAAAGAGAAAATAGAAAACGCTACAGACTAATCATTCCGATCTAGCATAAAGGTGATAAAAGTTTTGTAGGGCTTACTGCCGGAACAAAACTGATTATCACCCGAGTCTGAAGGGTCAGTATAGACCGGACCAGACGCTGTTTTTTCAGGATAATCGAACGATGTTTTGCAGATTACAGTTGTTACAGATTACTAAAATTGTGATGGAGCGCGTGCGAGGACGCACGCATGTCAGTATGGCCGTGACGGCACCTGCACCGTTGTAGATGCAGTGGCGTCGGTCTAGCTAGACAGAATTCTTGTAAACGACACGTGTACCGCACACCTGCGGCATTGCACCTGCGTTGCCGCCCCTCCTGCTTGTATAAAACGGACTGAGCGGCCGCCGTTAGGGCAGTCTTGGCTCTGACGTGGAACGGTGCGCTTGTCGTATTGCGTTACTAGTTTATCCTCGACTCGTTGGATAATTAATTCGTGTAAACGAATTAATTATTATTCCTAACTACAAAATCAGTCTCTGTACTATACCCACCATACTTCCTACATATATATATATATATATATATATATATATATATATATATATATATTTATATTATTTATATATTAGAACTTTGACACTAGAATTTTTGAAGTTTTACTTCTTTAGAGGCGTTTGGGAAAAATTATGAGAGTGATTTTTTACGATGCGCGTGCACACACACACACACATACACACACACACACACACACACACACACACACACACTAACACACACACACACATTTTTTTATAGAATAAGGGTAACAAACGAGCACACAGTCCACCTGATGGTAAGTGGATGCTGTGGCCAATAGACATCTACATTTATTATCAATCAAAAAATAGAATACAGATGCGTTGTCACCCCTGAGGTCTGAGATGGCATACTTCGCTCCCAGTAAAAAGGATCTCCGGTTTTCTACACTCACCACACAAAACACAGCAGCCTTAAGCTGCTATTTTAGGCTTGTATTCATATGGTATTCTTGGGTTTACATGTAATTTTATTAACTATGGGCTCCCAAGCAGATGGTAGCACCCATCCATCTTCTCTAACCGTAGGAATCTGTGTTCTTTTACGAGAACTTTTACGCGAATTTGTGGTCTATCAAATCTAATATAATGGCGGGGTCGATCTTGATCACGATCACAGACTGCAGACTTCCCGGAGTGTCAAGTTATAATTTATTTCTTAGATAACATTTATCTGACGATGTAAAAATCAGCCCTAAGACTATATTCTTGAAAATTTATTTAAGGCAGAAAGTCTTTTATATTTTATACGAAAAAACCTCGACCTCGAACTAGCCACTTTGAACTGCACTACACTTTGAAATTCTTAAGTCAAATAATTATATCTATGCCTGTTACGGCCCGCAGCTGCCTAAGCAAAGGTTCAAGATCCCGGGGCCCATGAGCGGAAGATTCAACGGGCAGCCGCGGGTTCGAGCCCGAATGGCCTTATGGAAAATGTTCTATCCTACTACACTTTAATGGGGAGGCTAGTCAAATAAAGATTACTTACCTGTATCTGATGCGACGACTGTCTCAAGGTTCGGTCAGGACGGAGGTGTGTATGTGCATGTGTAATTGTGTTTTTTGTTGTGTGGATTGTGATTGACCTGACTGGACCGTTGAAATCGGCAGCTGCCCGGACTCCGGCACCGCCCAAAATTATGGTAATCTCCAGCGGCGTCACCCACGGTCAATTTCTTTCTTCTTCACTATGTAAGTCTATTAACCTTATCGTACAATTAACTAACTTCAAGACGCAACTAATTCCCGTTTATTATAGTCAAAAACGTAACACACAGCACGAATACCGAATGTTCGGATCAAAGGTCACTTCCGTTTCGCGTGGCAAATTATTTCTAGAACCTAACACGACCTTCTCTAGTGTCACAAAGTTCAACGTTCAACCGACAACCGAAAATATCTCCGAACTATATCAAATGCTGCACGAGCAAATTAATATTATCAAATGCACTTATATACGCTATCAAATTAGAATAACCAAATTCGCGGTAAGTTAGGCGCGCACGACACACAAATTCAGACGTTGATCGCAATCAATGTTAACTTCCTAACAATTTGTCAACCCGGCGTCTAATTCTAGACTACAATTCCTCGTCGTTGCACAATTTGCTAACAAAACCGACTCTAAAAAATGGAGGTTATCCCGAGAGACTTCACGAAGTGCGATCGACAGCATTGCATTCAAGCAACTCCTTTCTGCGCTCGCGCCCTCTGCCCAAAGCCACTCCGCTCACCCGAACGTCAAAACCGGTGTAGCACTAAGCCGAACGCCCTCCGGCGTCAAATCCCGAAACCAGAGTTTGGGCGTGAACAATGCTATTATATTCATATTTCAAAATGAGATATTCAATTTTGTTTCTTTTGGTTTTGTTTCTGCAACATCGCCATATTTATAACTCTTATACAATTCGTATTTTTGAATATGAGTTCCGACTGCAAAAACTGCGTCTGAAATGGTACGCAATATATATGTGGTAAACGGACCTAACACTACTGAACGAAATGTGCGTGATTAGTCTAGTCGCTTTCATTTGGGAAATTTGACCTAAGTAAGACATAAACCTTGTGGACGCCCGGAGAAAAAGATTTTATAGACCACCTGAAGGCGACAGTGAAAGTGGATCCATCACAAACTACAGCCGAGCTAGTGTAACCGAAATTATTTGCGGCAAATTTTTATAATAAAAAACGCACAGTTGAAGAAAGAGATGTTGGCAAAATTAGAACAGCTGAAACTAGAGACTTCCTGGTCCACCATATTCTCCAGATCTTTCCCCAACTGACTACCACATTTTTCGAAGTTTAGATAACTTTTTGATACGCAAACATTTTATTAACTTCCTTCTGCGTAGCATTGAAAGGAAGTTAATGGTTTTAGCTGGCAGTCTGTTAGTCTGTATGCCGACACGATAACTTCCGTTCCACTGGACCGATTGACTTTAAATTTGGTATGTGATAGGTGATACCATGAGGTAGTAGCTCGGTCGAGTTTGAATTTGGATCCTGTAGGTCAAAGGGCACCAAAGATATGGGATTCACGCAGAAGGAAGTTGTTTTTCTTGAATTTACATTCAACTCGTTTTTGATGAAAGAATGAAGAACACCTACAAAAATTAATCGACTTCTATAAAAGTTTAAAGCGAAAAAGAAAAATTATTGGGTATATACCCATACCTTATTAGTGAAATTTGAGGAACAAAAACATGTTCCCCGGCACCACACCTCGTTAAGATTTCCGTCTCAATTAAGTTAAGTTTCTGCTGCAGAGTAGGTTATCGTTGCATAACTTTAGTAGGTTCAGATTTCTCAATACTAACTCGGGCACGTGCTTAAAATCAGTCATGTGAATTTAATGAGTATACTTTGCTGGCTGATTCAAATTACGTTGGTTTAAATTAGGTCTGTTGTTTTCGTCTAAAACAAAGGTCCAGTAAAGACCAGTTAATAATTTTAAAAAAACTATAACTTTTGTTAACTTTTGCAGAAATATGAAGTAATATCAGAGATGGATTAAGGTGCAGCTAATGCCGAACTCATTTATGTAAGATATAGATTATGTAGATTTTATATAATTAGTATAGGGTAATTCTTAGTCAGACCAGGTAAACTTAGTTTAATTATTTCATCCAGCATTACTTTTACCGCGAATAAAACCGTTTAATAAATTTTAATCAACCACAGTCGGCTGCACTTGGCTGCACATCCACGCATATCTTTCCACGTGTGTCGTGTGAACCGACAGAGGGAAACAAACGAAACAAAAACTGCAGTTGCAAGCCCGTCAACCAAGCGTGGTAACTATGGCAGTTATTCCCAAGACAATCAATTGGAAGGCCTATCTTCTGCAACTGATTTCGATAGGCTATAATGAATTAATGAATTAAGTAATTAAAAAAAAGAATACAAATGGCAGGATAATAACATTCAGACCCAATCATTTAAACTGTTTGTAGAATCTTATAGAAGCATCTAGAGATCTTAAAGCAGTATATAAATAGAGCAATAGTTGACCATCAGATCATTTAACAACTGGAGTTCGAGTAGTCAAACTACAAGTAGTATTTTTTTTAACGTATCATAAGCAAAAGCTTGACTATAATTCCATCTGCAGGTAAGTGATAATGATGCCGTAGATCACAATACTGAGGAAATAGCAGCACTTTCAGCTTGTCACCGCCGGTCAGTGATCGTAGAGTCAATTTTTTATGATAATACCTTGTGCGTGCTGTGTGAAGCGATATATGTCTTCCATAACGTCGTGGTATTGGGGTTAGTGGTGATAGCGATAGTGATTGTGTGCACTATCACATATCATATCAGGGGTATAGATGCTCTTCCACTAGGTAAGTCACATCGCATCACAGCACTTTTTATTTTTTACGCTGATCTATGCTATATAGTTATTACATCTTTAATGCATATGAATTGGCGTTTTTCAAATGAATCACCTACCGCAGATAATGATACGGTCATTGATAAGTTAACAAGTTGTTACGAGTAGATAACCACCGTTACATTGAATTGCGTGGACTACTCCCGACGTGACTGAACGCTAATAAGTTATATAACACATAGATTTAATTTTAGAATACACTTTTTTACTTATTCAAGGTTCCAGAAAAGTGAATGAAGATTAAACATAATATTAAATTGTGTTTGATTTTTGTGCTTTATAACAAATTTTAAATTATTAAAAAATATTTAAATACGATCTTTACTACCAGAGTGTCTTTAATCGTAAAATGTCGTAATTATTATTATAGGGTCCATAGTGTTCGTGATCGTTGAATTATTGTTTTTTTTTTTAAATAGAAATGATTCGTAATGAAACTGCACTGGACAATATTATGGTCTCTGTGGGCAGCCAGACTATTACAGCAGCCTACCGTCGTAGTGCAAGTGAGTGGCGGACTGCTACGTGGTACCATCGCTCCTGACGGCACGCATGCCCAATACTTGGCTATACCGTATGCAACGGTACGGCCAAGGAACAGATTTCAGGTTCGTACCCATGGCTAAAATTGTATTGTAAGCTGTGTAGTATAGCATACATTAAAGTAAAATCATACTAGGTGTTATAGATTTGAAAGTAAAGGAAATAATATTTAGGAAAATGTAGAAGGATAAAACTAGGTAACACGGAATTATATTGACAATCAGCACAAGAACTAGGCAAACAGTTAACCCTAATTCACCAGCACTTTACAATTCGGCGCGAGATCACTAGTGACAATATTAAGCCAGGGGCATCAGCAGGGGCCAGCAGGGGCAACTACCCTTGGCTTAATATTAAAGTTTGTGACACTATGAGAGAAGCCCATGTTGAACAGTGAAATTATGTTTGGTATTATTATTATTATATAATCATAACGATGATAAGAGGAAGATATCGGCGTTTGCCGTATTATTCAATGAATCGAGGTCAATTAATTGATTTTAAATAAACGCTTGAGATAACGTTGTCGATTAACATTCTTAGTCAAGTTTTGACTTATTATTACATTTTTTCAGCTTCCATTTATTTATCTTTATAGGTAGCTGAACATGGACCAATGTGGGATGGAGTTTTCAATGCTATAAACGAAAATGTACGATGTCCACAGAGAAAAGGCAAGACGTTCGTAGTTGGTCAAGAAAATTGTTTAACTTTAAATATTTACACCCCACTAGATGCGATACCATCTTCAAAATTACCAGTTATGGTGTTTATACATGGCGGTGCTTTCTACGATGGCTCTGGATCAAGACATTTATATGGACCTACATATTTTATGTCTAAAGGCGTAATATTAGTAACTATTAATTATAGATTAAATATTCAAGGCTTCGCATGTCTGGGAATTAAGGAAGCCCCGGGTAATGTTGGTTTGAAAGATCAAGTTGCTGCATTGAAATGGATAAGGACAAATATAAAAGTGTTTGGCGGTGATATGGATAATGTAACAATATTTGGAGAGAGTGCCGGGTCTGCGTCCGTGTCTTTCCACGTTCTTTCACCAATGTCCAAAGGATACTTTCAGAAGGCAATACTTCAAAGCGGGTCATCTCTTTCTTCTTGGGCTATGCAGTACAGACCAGTTTATATGGCGAGCCTACTAGCAAAAGCGATGGGTCATAATACAGAAAATGCTCGTGAAATTTATAATTTATTTATGAATAAATCAGATACAGAGCTGATAGTTACAAGAGTGCCAAGAAAGGAAGGAAATGTTATTATTTCTGAATGCCTTTATGTGCCATGTGTAGAAGAAAATATAGATGGCGTAGAGCCGTTCTTGACAGACATACCTTACAATATATTAACAAAAGGCGATTTCAATAAAGTTCCTATGATGATCGGATTGAACAGCGAAGAAGGATATTTTTTTGCGTCATTGGAAAACGATACGACTATACCGAAGATTGAAATAGAAAAATCGTTGCCCAAAGATTTGACATTTCCCACACATAATGAAAGAAGAGAGGTAGCAGCGAAGCTGCATAAGCTATACTTTGGAGATAAGAAAATTTCACAAGAGACGATACTGAAAATAGCTAAGTTTCAGGGTGACGCTTATTTAAGTAGCTCAATTTTAGAAGAAACAGAATATATTCTTAAAAATAATGATAAACCAATATACAATTACATATTTAATTACAACGGCTGGAGAAATTTTGCGAAGATATTTTCTGGTGAACCTTTCAGGAGTGCTCCTGGAGCAACGCATGCTGATGAATTGTTTTATTTGTTCAGCCAAGGATTATTACATACTATGTTTGAGAGTAAAATGATCGATAAGATGACGACGTTGTGGACAAATTTCGCCAAGTTCGGGTAAGCAAGTTAAAGTGTTTTTAAAGTTACAGCATATACAAAACACGTTACTGCTGGGCACAGACCACCTCTCACTTTTATGGAGCAATTACAAGGTAAAATATAAGTAGGAACGAATATATGGATTTTCTTATGTGGCAACTGAATTGCATAAAAAATTAAACCGGCTAAGTGCGATTTATACCCCACTCTTTTAGGGCTCCGTATATTTATAACCAATAAACTTTTTGTTAATATTCTTTTGTTTTAACATGCTCCATAGAAAACGCGGCAGCATCTTGCTGCTATTTTACGTTGATATTCTGTGAAATCATGTACCTGCACTTCTCCAGTCGATCTGACCTATTCATACTAAAGTTATCATGTAGCTAAAAACGACAGCGTGGCTTTATTATGTTTAAAATATGTTACAAAAATGTAGTGTGAAGGCCAATACTTGACAGGATCATCGCTATTGTACCTGTTTTCGGTTTTATTGTAGGCAAAGAATAAGGAGTTTCACTTATTACTCTCATTTGCATTCGTGCGACGTAGATAGTACTCGTAGATTAGGTAATAATCGCAAGATATCATGGTTAAGATATTCCTTGCCGGTTTTTGCTGGCTTTATAACAATCCATTACTTTTATGACTTTCCGTGGTCATAGTAGCTGGAGAATTACTCTAAAATGACAAAATATCATATGACACTAAGCACATATTATCTCAAGTTTTTCTTAGGTGCTCAAAGTGTTTAGCCTGTACACGAGCAGCCCGGGCTCGATCCCCGACGGCACCAATGATATTGTTAATTGCAATTTTAAGTGCTGATTTACCACGTGCTCGCCGGTGAAGTAAAACATCGTGAGGAAACCTGCATGTCTGAGAAATAAGAATAGAAATTGGAATACATGTGAGTTCGCCAACACGTATTGGGGCAGCGCGGCTGAATTTTTCTTGCCCTATAACCCTCTCAGAAATGAGGGGAGTCCTGTGCCCAGCAGTGGGACGTGTATAAGTGTATAATATATATAATAACTTTAACTTTTAACAAGGTGTTTTTACTTTCAATATGAATATTTACTATAAATGAATTTCCAGCACGGTGATTTTTAGTGATGTCACCTTAACTTAACTTTATTAAAAACTTTAAACATGTAGTACATACAGAAAAAAAAACACATTTGGACATAGTTACGCAAGATGGATCCAATGTAATTTGTGTCAAAAATGTTCAGTTGATAAATAATTTTTGTGGTCTATACTATTATGTGATGTAACAATTTTAGCGAAAATAGCACAAATAAGAAGAATAATTTCAAACACACACACAAACCATACAGATCCATTCTTCAAAGTTATGACCTCAAATTAGCTCTGTTTTTAGGGTTGGATTCTTTTTGCATAACCACGTCCAATTATCAATGACTTTATATTGTTACAGAGATCCAACACCAGAGGTAACGGAGCTGTTACCGTTGAAGTGGTATCCTACTAACTCTACGTCACCCCATGCTTTGGTCATTGATGAGGAGTTAAGCACTTCCCCCCTCTGGTATAGTCAGATTTTAAAATACTGGCGGCAGTTATACAGCAAGTACAGGAGGAAATCTTGATACAAGAGCGATGCCACACGGTGCAGTTACGGAGTACTGCGTATAAAAATCTTTGATAAGATATACAGTGCGATTCGACGCTGTACGGCCATGTTTTAGTACCACACTCAGCGTTTTAGTGCGGGGTCTACGCTATTTCTTCTATAGCGCACTTAGTGCTAAATCCGCATTCGTTGCTGACAGCAAGGTTACCTAAGTTCAGCTCAGTATATTGCTTTTTTTTAAAAAGGTAATTGTTTCAAAGAAATTTTACGCGTGATGATTTTTAAATAACAAAATATATTTAAATCATAAAACTGGTTTGTAGAATAAATATGTTAGTGTCACTCACAGGTAGGCTCGACTTTAATTTTTGTATGGAAATCTGTCTAAAAATGTGCCTCAAGTATGTTCAACACCATAAAAGCTCGTTAATTGGTTCAAAATTTGGGTCATTGTGTCACGGATACGTTAAATGATGACATTATTATAGAAAGGGAACGAAGGGCGGCAATATGTTGGCTCGCAGATTTGCACGCTATAGTAGGCAAGCTAAAATGACGCTTTTTAAAGCGTATTGTCAGTCGTTCCGCACGTCCGGTCTATGGGTTAACTACACGTAGCGAACGTACAGTCCTCGGCGTGTTCAATACAACAATGCGTTTAGGTATGGTTTGAGTTGCTGAGTTTTTGCAGTGCACCGGCTATGTTAGCCGATCAGGAAGACAAGCGCCTCGCTGTTGAGATGTGTGCACGATACTCAAACAGCATTCTGGGCGCATTGGCAAATAGGTGGGATTTTGCTCTCCAAATTCAATTCACATCCTAAATACTCTTGACCTGAGCCTGGTGAGCGAAAATCTAAATCCGCCGGTGCAGCGACGTTCGTCGCGCGTACTTAGAGCTACGTTTTATTATACCACAAAATGTTTCTTTTTTTTTTTCAAAAAAATATAAATTGTTGTTTACAATGCGTTACGATGTTGCACAAGCGGTGTGGCATCTATTCGGAATACTTGCGTTGCCAACCCAACTCACCGTGTGGTATGGCCTCACTTATTTTATAACATTTTAGTTTTGTATGTGAGTTTTTATTCAATATGGCTGCTGCTATTGGTGTATGGTTTTCTTTATGTGTGATACTTCATTTTGTGGTTTGTGTTTTTATATAATGTTATTACATCAAAATAGAATTATGTTTTACAAAACTTTCATTGCGTTATTATTGATTACTCTAGTTCAGTTATCAAAATAATACACTACCTCATATTCATCAATACCACATATCTTAAGAGATTATTTGTGCGAAGAGCTAAGAAGGTCTAGAAAGACCAGTACCATTGCGACCTATAAGATCTATTGTGATTGCTGCTATGACTACAGTTCACTGCGAAGCCCTATGTCTTCAATAAATTGAAGTATTTGCTTAGATGTGAGCAATTTTTTCTGGGCGAAGTACATTGTTTCCCAGACGAGTGTTACGTTCGCGCATTAAGGATCCACAATGAGTTAGGATGTGTAGAGGTGTGTCTTCCGTTAAGAGGGGTCAAACGCGTATACGGCTCGCCTAATGGTAAGTGGCTACCGCCGCCCATTAACAACCGCAACACCAGGGGAATCGCAGGTGCGTTGTCGGCCTGCGATTCCCCTCTATATATATATAGCTGTATTATCGATACAGATGCTAAACCAATTTTTTTTTGAAATGTTGTCTGTCTGTCTGCTTGTCTGAATACGCTTCACGCAAAAACCTGCGAACGGATTTGGAGCGTACTTTTACTACAGTGTTACGTAGGAGTTGTACGTCAGAGTAAATATATATCGTCACGCTATCTATCATAGAAGCTAGGCAGTAAGCATAATCTACCCCTTTGCAAAAAAACTAAGATTTACGATGTCGTTGGATTGAAAAATTACGTTATCCGATTTTGAGTTGTTCTTATATTATTCCTATCCGTTATTTACTAAATATGATAGTTTATATTTTAGTGTAATAATGAACTAACTACATTTATTTTACCTCGATGGTGCTAAAGGTATTTGAAATAACTGGATGGTGCTTTCAAAGTAATTTTTTATTAGATCAGTAAATAGTAATTTCTTTCTTTTTTTCGGCAAAGGCGATACAAATGAAGCGAGTTGTATTTTGCTACTCATGTTTATATTACCCACTAGCTGTGCTCGCGTATTCGTTCGCGTGGAATTAGTTTATTTTTGTTATGGTTATTGATTGTCTGACTAACTGAATGTTTTTAACCAGATTATTGTCATTCTAGATCTTCGCTACATTTAAAAGTACAAATGAATCATCAGAAAATATCATAACAAAAATACTAATTCCACGTGAACGAATTCGCGGGCACAGCTAGTATACATTTAAATACAAATAAGCTACTAGTAAGATGATTTTGCCAGTTTAATCAAATAAAATTTGTTAAAACTTTTTTCTTGAATGAAATTGATTGTTAGCTGTTCTAATTTGAAGAGGGAGTGCGTTCCAGAGAACAGACTGTACAGTGAAGGATAAATGCAGAAAGCCCGATCCGTGAGAGGGACACTTAAGTAAAAGGTTAAAAGTTCGTTTAACCTATCTATTGGACCTAGGTTATACCCAAGCAGCATGCAGCTGTATACGAGCTGTATTGAAATTCGTTTTTATACTAGAGGCTGTATTTTCTGATTGTATAAAAGCTGTATAAGCGCTTATACAGTTTTTTTTTACAGGATAGGGTTACAAACGAGCACACGGTCCACCTGATGTTAAGTGATTGCTGTGGCCCATAGACATCTAAATCTATCTTCGTTTGCGAAACAAAATGCAAATGCGTTGTCACCCGTGAGGACTAAGATGGAATGCCTCTTTTCCAGTAAAAAGTGTCTCCGATTCTCTATACTCACCATAAGAAACACAGCAGTGTTAATCTGCTATTTTACGCTGGTATTCTGTGAGAGCGTGGTCCTTTCCCTGTCAAGCCGACCCATTCGTGCTACAACTATACTAATAATATAGCTGCAGAATGTATAAAATAGGCAAAAATTATGCAGTTTTATGCGTACAGTAGATGTATAGATAAGCATAAAAGGGGCTGTATAACTGCTTCATAACAGCTGTTATTTGGTGTACAAGAAAACTATTACACTATAGATATTGTCTTATAAGTAACTTATAAAGCAAACGTTCTAAATTAGGTTTTGAACGAATTACAAAAGAAAAAACAAAAACAAGAACAATTTACATATTTTTAACATATTAATATTATATTCGGATTGAAGTTGAGTTTTGGAGGTGATAATTGGTGAAATATTACCGTCAAAACCCGTGCAGTGGCGGGTAAGAATACCCACTACCCTATATCTTCCCGTGGGTGTCGTAAGTGGGCGACAAAGGGAAACTGAGGCAGAAGATGGGCAGCAAAACAAAAATAAAAAACTGCGGTTGCCAACCCGCTCGCCAGGATTATTCGAGGTCCGAAGGGAGGGGGTGACCAACTGTCCCAATAAGGTGTCAGATTTATCGTCTACAAGTCTCTCGTTAACAACTTTGTAAAGATTGAGAGTGCCTCGACGAGGGTTGAGTACCTTAAACTCAGAATCTTTAAACCGTATTCGGTGAAGATCATAGAGGTTTACGCAAAAACCTTGGCACATCCCGATGAGGAAGTGGAGGAAATGTATAAAGATATCTATAGAGCCATGCATTCCTCCAAATCCCACTATACGGAGACTTCAACGCAAAACTAGGCACAACAGAGAACGATGAGCTGAAAGTAGGGAAATTTGGAATAGGGTAGCGGAACCCAAGGGGCTAGCAGCTTCCCGACTTTATGTAGAAAGAGGAAATCTTTATGATGAACTCTTTCTTCCAAAAGCGGCCCCACAGGAAGTGGACCTGGTCGAGCCCCGACGGTTCGACAAAAAATGAGATTGACTTTATTATGACGATCAGACGACAACTGTTCAATGATGTCTCAGTGATCGCGAGGGTGAAAACTGGCAGCGATCACCGAATGGTGAAAGGCACACTGAACCCAAACGTTAAGTTGAAGAGGTTACATCTAATGAAGACAACACTCCGTCCCCCTCGTGCTCTAATCCGAAGCTTCGAAAACGTTCAGCTCGAGTTACAAAATTATTTCAAGTGCCTAGAAGATTGCAATGAAGTGGACGATATGAATGACAAGCTTGTGGAACTGCCCATGCGGTAGGAGCTAAGTTATGTAAGATCCGTCGCAGAAAAACACAAATACTCTCTAATCACACTCTCAATCTCATAGCTGTTAGACGGAAGATAAAGCTTGCAGTCTTCAGCAGATTTAACAGCATACAGGCAACTGAACAGACAGATCTCCAAATACATGATGCGGGACTTGCGCAAATTCAGCTCGTATTAAAAAAGCGATCGAGCGGAACCAGGGCGCCAAAGTCAATGCCGGAGATCTGTCGGCTAAAAAGAGCCAACTGTCGAAGCCGAAGACCGAGTGTGGCAGTATCGTTTCCGGGACATCTGAGATTTTGTGTGAGATTGGGAAATTTTATGGGCAGTTGTACAAGTCATTGTTGGAGCCACACGCAAGTGTGAGTAACGATCCAAGAGAAAGTTTTATCCTACACTATTTCGATGACATCCCGGACGTTAGTCTGAGCGAGATAAGAATGGACCTCCATCACCTTAAAAACGGCAAGTCCCCGGGGGAGGGTGGAATTACAGCGGATTTTGTGAAAGCGGGTGGAAAACCAGTACTTAAAGTCCTTCAGAAGCTCTTTAATTACGTCCACCATGGTGGCACTACTTCGGAGACGTGGAGCGGAAGTGCGGTGGTTTTGTTTTTCAAGAAAGGTGACAATGTTCTCTTGAAGAACTACAGGCCGATTTTACTTCTGAGCCGCGTCTACGTGCTGTTTTCAAGGGTCATTACGAATCATCTCGCACGCAGACTCGACAAATTCAAACCACCAGAACAATCCAGTTTCCGACAAGGCTTTAGCACCATAGACCACATTCATACCCTTCAGCAAATTGT